GGGGGGGGGGGGGGGGGGGGGGGAGGACTCACGTAAGCTTCCACCTCTGACACCTCTGATTCCTCATTCTGGGCGGACAGCACCGTGTTGAGAGCCCTGACTCCCTCGGACAACGTCGAGGTGATGTCGGGAAAGTCGTTGTCGCTGTCGCCGATTATCCGGAACTCCAGCCTCTTGAAAGTCTGCGAGCGGTTCACGGGCAGTCATCATCAAAAGCCCGTTTATTGGTGTCGTCATCCCATCCACTCTGAGGCGCAAGAAAACATTCTTCGGTGTACGACGCACCTGCCGGCGCGACCAACTCAGTCCCGCATTTTCATCCGGTCGAACGAACAACCAATCATTAAAAAAGAGGTCCGCGCAATATTGTATAAAAGAACAACACTAAAAACACCGGGTGAACCAACAAGCTCGATGAAGGCAACCAAGAAGAGTCTGTCGCGACATCTGGGTATTATACACAATTGCACACACACATGAAAACAAAAACTCACAACTTGCGTGAAAAGTGAAAAGAAAAACAGGTGGAACAACGATTCGTTGAAAATATTACCATTTCTTCGCCTAAGCGCACATACCGTAATATTTGTACTGTATGCATGCTACATTTTGGGATTAGCAACTGACACGAGTTTAAAGTCAAGACAACAACAGCAACAACAATACACCACAAATGCAGACCACATTCTTCTACCAAGTCTACGGTTGCGCTACGAACGAAAAAAGAAGCCACGCACCGCGGTTTGGAGCCTGCGATTCCGCGCTCGTCTCTGCCCCCCTTTCTCATCGCTCCACCCCCAACCACTGCCCAGCCGAACGCCTCCTCCCTCCTCCTCCTCCTCGTTCTCTCCCGCAGAGATCAGCCTTCTTCGAGTCACCTCCGTAGAGGTCTCGGTCGATTTTCCGTTGACGCGGGCCAGCTCCACCTTCAAACGGCCAACCAAAAACACACGACGATGGAGCGAGCGGCAAGAAGGAGGGGTGGTGTGGTGAAACGGAGAAAAAACGTTAAACGTCCACACGATTCCCGACAGGGGGAGGGAGGCCGCAGCCCCTCTACACCCCCTTTTGAGGGACAGATGAGCACACTTGTAGGAGGTGTTTAATCCTGTCAAACGCGAGTCCCATGTCTCATCATCGGGCGAAGACACTTCTTTTCACCAAGCGAAGCATTCTTATTTGTTACCTAGAGAGAAGCAAATCCTTCAAAGTCGTACATGAGTCGGCGGGCGGACTCTTCACGTATTTCTGCTTTCAGGACTCTCTTTTGCCCCATCGGCTACGTGATGCTGCTGCAGCTGAGGACGAGCGTGCCTATTGGCCATCGCCAGGTTCATTGCAAATCAACACCCTCGCCTTCACCTCCCACGACACCCCTTACAAGCTCATGCGAGGGTGGTGGTTTCGGGGCCCATAAACAAGAACGGGAGAGGGGGTGGGGGGCATCTCTAGACTCAGCGCTACGCAGTGCCCCCCCCCAAATAATGCGGTGGTGGGGCAGCTGACAATGACCGCCTTATGTGGAGCAGCCGCCTTATTAATGTGTAGAACAACTTCATTTTGCCGGTCAACTTCACCCGCCTTACGTAGGACGACCGCCACCTGTTACGGAGGACCCGATTCATAGGGTGTCCGTCGATTGACTTTTACCAGAATCGGTACATCTGCGCAGACCCCCACATCATCGCTGTGAGCAGTACCCCGAGAGCAGCCTGTGGTCTCTCACACGTACGTACCTCACGCGGTAGACTGCGGGCGACAACAGACTAACGATCGAGAGGCAACGCAACAGGAATATTCTTCTGTGTGACCCCCCCGCACCATCGGAGCCATTTCTTCCGTCAAAACACGAACGCTACATCGATACGACAAAAAAAAAAAAGACAAGACTAACATCGATATGTGTGAAAAAAAAAAAGGAGACAACACGGGAAAGAGACATCGACAAGAAAAAAAAAGACGGACTCACATCGATTATGAAAAAAAGCAGGGAGACAAAACACGAAAGAGACATCGACACGAAAAAAAAAGGACAGACTCACATAAGCGGGGTCCAGGTCGAGCCACTGAGCGACGGCCGTCTCCATGCCATCGACGTAGACGTTAGTGGTGACGACCGTAACGTACGTGACTATCCGCAGGGTGGGCGCCATGGTGATCTCCGCGGCGGCATCGCCCAGAAGGTAGCACTGGGACCGAGACTCGCAATCGTCCCTCCCGAGGCACTCTATTCGGAGATCGATCTGGACGGGAGGGCGTTACAGCAGTTGGTGGTGTTAGTGACACGGGAACCTCGCTCATGCCTCCCAAAGCACTGCTGTACTTGGAGATTGATCCACAGAGGGAATGAGAACACGTTATACGGTCGGCGTTGTTCGGGTTAGTGACACTGGGACCTCGACTCGCGCTCGTCCCTCTCCAGGCACTCTATTCGGACATCCATCTGGATGGGAGCACTTTACGATTGGTGCTGTTACGGTGCTGGAAGGCGTTAGTAGTGACGATGGGACCTCGACTCGCACTCGTCCCTCTCCAGGCACTCTATTCGGAGATCCATCTGGATGGGAGCACTTTACGATTGGTGCTGTTAGGGTTGGCTAGTGACACTGGGACTTCGCTTATACATCCCAACGCAACAGAGATCAATCCTGACGGGAGGCCGGTAGGGTTGGTGCTGGAAGGCGTTCGGAGTGACAATGCCTCCCAAGGCTACAGAGATCGATCCACAGAGGGATGGGAACGCGCGTTGACGGTAACGGATTCTGGCAAGAAGGTATTGGAGGGCCAGGGGTTCTGGTTGAGGGAGGCATGCGTGCCACGGAATTGAAGCCGGCATCCGGGCGCGACGTCGAGAAATGCGGCAGCCTATCACCCCGCCGTCGATTCTACCGGTTCATTTATCGAACGCCTGAGGAAAGCAGATATGTTCACAAACACCCCCGTTCACTTCCCAGACGTCGTATGCAGGGAGGACGGGCTCAAGAAAAGGCTGGTCGCCCGCCAGGTTTCGACTCAAGAGGTATTGGGGACACTTATGTATGTACGTAAGCTTAAGCGCAGCGCCGCTGCTTCTGCTTCACGGACTCTACATGACACAAAGTGCGGATTTGAAACAGAGGGCGACGGCGCCTGGTGTCCAATTAGTCGCCTACAAGGCAAGCGCGCAAACACGGGGGGTTTCAAAGCGTTAAATCCAACAGGTGGTGTACGTGACTTCCTTCTCTTGTCTTCTCCTGTCTGCAAGTGTAGATAAATTACACACATGGTGTGTGATCAAATACATGCACGTAAACGAGAGGCTAAAACACAGGTCGATGGGTGCTCTGCACACACGGCGTACTGCTATACTTCTTCACCCGCAGTTCCACGTCTATACACATTTGGAATCTTCAACACTTGGAGTAAAAAAACGTGGGTGCTCACGAGCACATGGCGTACCTCTTCACTCTGCGTACAAGCGCAGTCTGCACGTCCATAATATACACGGGGGAATAATCATCGACAAGGCGTACTGCTGTACCTGTTCATCCTGAGTACAGGTGCAGTTGGCTCCGGCGGGCTCGTCCGAGGGCGCCAGGAGGTCCCCGAAGCTTTTGCACTCGTCCGCGTCGCGGTCGTCGTGCTCCTCGTAGCAAAGCTTTTCATTTTTTTTGTCACCAGAGGGAGAGAGAGAGAGAGAGAGAGAGAGAGAGAGAGAGAGAGAGAGAGAGAGAGAGGGAGAATTTGGTCAAACGGGTGTCGTTCTGTGATTGTGTGTATTTTCTAAAAACGCAACTCATCAAATCGCTCGCATATTTTGCAGCGAGTGGCAACGCTAAACCAAAACATCAAAACTCTCCGGCATCATGGAAGCCCACCTCCTCCAAGGCGTCGGGAACAATCAAGTTACCGGGCGCGAGAGTTGGGTTTGATTGACACTTAAACCCCTCGCAAGCAAAAAAAATGGAACTGCACTATGCATTCGGTGATCACCTATGAATACCGGGAGACGGCATTGTTACAACGGAGCTATTACAATAGACTTACCCGATGCTCCAAATAATCAATGCGAACGCGTGGATGCAGCAGCTACAACAGAAGTGTTGTTGCCACCAGCCTCACCCGATAGCAATCGCTCATGCCGCAGAGGGCCCCACCAAGGCCGAAGGTGTGGTAGTCCTGCCCTCCTCCCTCCGCACTCTGGTACACCTCGCCTCCCACCTCCACCTGCAAAACCAAACACCGGTTGTGTGGTCCAATCAGGTTCCTGTCATGTTCTCGACAAGGAGCAGGCGACGTGAGCTTGCCCAACCTACAACGTCGGTGTCTCTTTTCGTGAGGGGACTGTCGCACTTCTCGCCCATCCGCTTGCCACATGGCGAATGTGTACAACATGTGACGATGCAGTTTTTCCGCACCACCGTCGCTGTCTACATTCGTGCCAAGTGATCTGAAACAGAACCGGGTGTATCTGCGTCTTCAACTGCTGTGTGGCCTTCAAGGGTTCCGGCAGCTCTTGCTGCTGCTGCTGCTGCTGCTGCTGCTGCTGCTACAAAAAACTAAAAAGAACCCCACCCCCAACTGGGTGTAAGGTGATGCACGTAACCACACCATGCTATCGAAACCGGCACCCAAGTATACTTCGGTGCCGATTTCGATTGGCTCGTAGCGCGGGGTGATTGCTTGCATCACCTCGATGCATCGTCACGTCGCTCGGCGGATAGATAACCCGTACAGCCTGGCTCTAGGCGCAGATAACATGCTCGGCAAGGACTTAGGACCAAGCGACCGAAAGGCTCAAGTCGACACTTCGCATCGATGAGCACGTTAAGTGTGGGGCGCTGACGTTAACGTCAGATGAAACAAGTTTGCAGACGAAAGGTGACCACGTCCAATAGCAGTGTAGCACACACAAGACCAGACAGAGCAGGGCTCGACGTGAGGGAGCGGCTGCAAGAGCTATGATACTCATCAAACGAAAAAAGGAAAACAACGAATTAGTTCAACCAAAAGGCTTTTCGCCGGTGTTGCTAGAAACGATCAGAGCCACCGGACCCGGAAAAGAAATGGACCCGGACGGGGACTCAAAGAAAGCGCGCAACATGTGCCATCATGCGTGGGGGACAGCAGCGGTGATTCGGGGGGGGGGGGTACTCATGTTTGCATACCGTAGTTGTTAGACCATCGACCACGCCAGGACGGAGCACTGTTCCCACACGACCAATCAACGATGGCCAATCGTTCCTGTCCACTGTGTGGCTCTCACGAATGTCTTCCCTTTATCGATATCAGGTGCCGGCTTCCAGGGGGGGGGGGGGGGCGCGAGTGGTATCTTCACCTGCCAGACCACGTCGTAGGGCCGGGTGCCAGCCGTGGTGTACAGGACGTAGCAGCCCCTCTCCAGGTTCAACGTCTGGGTCCACGGCGATGTGTCGCCCTGTGGAAACGAGGAGAATCGTGTGAATCAAGCGAGGTGGCCATCAAAGAGAGCGCGAACAACGGTTGGGATTGGAACGAAGGGGAGAGGATAGGCACAATTCAGTGTAGACTCAAAATAAGTCCAGTATCCAGCCGGAGTTCCTCCGACTCACTGCTGCACAAGACTCCAAAGCACGTCTCTTTGGACTGTGGTTATATCTCGAACGGGTAGTCTTTTCTGTTTTTTCACGGAGATTTTCTTAAAACACAGCAGCGCCGGGACCAGAGGCTTGGAGGCTGCAATCCGGCGCGAGACTGGCGTTTGCTCGTTGGCCACGCGGTCGATGCACAGAAGCACGCATGCGCCAGAGGGTCTTGTGAGAAAATGTATCAGCCACTGCGACATGTATCCAAGCGTAACGAAGCAAGGCGGCAAGCATGTGTCCCACTAGTACTGATGTCAACTAAACACGGGGGAGGGGGGGAAAGCGTGTCGACAGAATCCAGCGCGTCTTGACTCGAACACGTACACACACGACATGCCGACCCCCCACCTCGTTGATGGTGCCAAAAGCGAGGAGGCTCGAAGATGGCAGCGTCTGCCCGGGTACCACCGTCCCCACTTCCAGCCTGTAGGCCGCACCGTTCCAGTTTGTGCTCGTGTCTCCGGTGCTGGCAACCTGTCATGGGCAAGCCGGGTGCGATCGATGCCATCGAAACGTCCGCACCACACCGGTTATCCATCGATCGCGACACAAGCACCGCCAACATCACCTACCCAAAACAACGCCAGCATCAACACCTTACTACCTTACTTCTCTCTCCTCCTCCGAGCACGACCGAAGCCCACCACTCACAGCGCTCACAGACCCGAGGCGCGCGATACGCCCGGGTCCATCTGTCGCTGTTACATTCGCATTACTCCTAAGGAGACAGTGGGAGATGCTAGCCAACTCCATCAACTACAGCACAAAAGGTTGGGTTGAGGCAAACCACAGCATCGGCGGGTGTAGCCAAATAACTTCATCTTCGGAACGCGACAACAAATTGCAGCTCGGCGCACAAGTCCCGCGGCGGCCAAAGCCAACACCTAGGACCCGAGCCAACCTGGCGCCACAACCCGAAGCATGGCGAATTTCCTACGGAAAGAGGCAAGAAAGGAGAACAGCACTTACAAAGTAACCATCTATTGAGACGACTGTTCGTCACGTTGCCGCCGTCGTTCATCAAACGGGACAAAGAGGTCCTTCGCTTTCGACCACGTAACTAAATGCTATTCCCTGCTTTTTTCATTAGAAGCGATCGGGGTCAGAACGACCCAACAGCAACAATACAAAAAAAAGCACTCACAATTTCGACTTGGTAGTTTCCACCGGTGTTGTCGTTGTCACCATCCGAGCTGCTAGCAGTAGTCTCCGCACTACTAGAAGTGTACAGACGGCGGCGGCGCGCCTGCGCGCTGCGCCCACTCCATTCCGCCGCGCCAAACAACCGTGCGTCTTCACCTTCCTCCTCCTCGAAGGCGGGGGAGGAGCGTTCTCCGGATCCTTCCTCCCAGGATTGCAACAGCCCGGCGAAAGTTCCGCGGAACAGATCTCCGAGCATCCCGCCGAACGATCGAGACGGCGACGGCGACGAGTCGACCGCACCGTGAGCGCTCCGGCGGCGCTCCTCAGTATCACGCGCGGGGGGTGGCGGCAGCAGCGGAGAACCCCCCCCCGGTCTCTCCGTGGCGGGCTCTTCGATGCCCTCCTCCTCCACCTCGAGGAGCGTGGTGGGGGTGGAGAAAGCCCCGCCGCTGCCGCTGCCGCTGCCGCTGCCGCTGCCGCCGCCGCGGTACAGGCCGCTTGTGTCGGCGTGCCCGGACGACGATAACGGACCCCTGAACCGCTTGCTATTGGCCGGCAGCACGGTCGACGACGACAACGGTCCCGACGAGTAGGACGATGACCTCGTGCCGAAAGAGCTACCATCATTGTCATCGGATCTCGAGGTCAAAGAGTGAGCATCATCGTCGTCAAAAATAAAGGAATCTTCTTCTTCTCCTTCGACCTCCTTCTCGGAGGCGGCGGCGGCATCTTGCTTGCTGGCGCCGTCGCCGTGAGGAAAAGTGCGTTTCTCGAGCACGCCGTGTGCGACCCCGTTGACCACGACATCTCGGACGTCGTCCACCACCCCGTTGGCATAGACGTACTCCGTGACGCCGTCGCTGTCGCTGGTGCTGCCGTACGTGGGTTCCAACCGCTGGAACCTCCCGTCCGGGGCCGGCCGCTCCCGAGGAGACCCCTGCCGGTCGCCGGCCGCATGCAGCAACAGCAACGCTTCTTGTCCTTCGCCCTCGTCGGCGACACGCCCCGGGACAGGCGCCGGCCGCTCGATCTTCCTCAGGAAGGCGTTGAGGAGGTTATCCAGCAGCTCTGCTCCTCCTCCTCGCCCGGCCACCGCGACCTGCTTCCTCACGCTGCCGAACGCCGCGGCTACCACCACCGCCAGCTCCTCCTCGTCCCTCGCCGAATCCATGCCCGCCGACAGCTCGTGGGCGCGGTCGTCCTGTCCGGCGCGGCGGAGCCCGTCGACCAGCGCGCCCGCGAGCTCGAGCCTGTCGGTCGCGTCGAGCCCCGCCAGCAGCGTGGCCGCCTGCACCTGCCCCTCCCCGTCCCTCTCCAGGCCAGACAGCAGCTTCTCGGCCAGCTCTCCCCCGCCTCCGCCCCGCCCGGCCGTGTCGAACGCCCCCGCCAGGGCCGTCGCGAACTCTTCGCGATCCTTGGCTTCCTCCAGCCCCACGAGCAGCGTGTCCGCGAGGTCCTCCTCTCCCGCCTGCCCGAGCTCGGCGATGAGCTTCGAGGCGAGGTCTTCCCGCTGGGGCCCGTCAAGCCCCGCGATAAGCTTCTCCGCAAACTCTTGGTCGCTCTTCCCGTCCTCGAACCGCCACGACCTCTTGTGTGCCGCAAGTCCCGTGCCGGTAGTCTCTTCGCCCTCGGCAGCAGCAGGCGAGGCAACAGCCACATCCGAGTGTTGGGACAGGTCCGGCTGCATCCCGATCATCCGGAGGAAGATCGCGGCCAGGTCCGGCTCCTCCTCCATTCCCTCGAGCAAACCCCGAGCAGCAACCCCATCCCCGCTAACACCTCCGACAGACGGTGCCCCCCCAGCGGCGCTTCTGCTCGCGGCGTGCGTCGAATCGGCCGCCGGTTCCTGCACGTCCCCGCGGAACCAAGAGGCCGCCGCCACCGCCGCCGTACCCTCGCCGGCACCGGCCGCCGCCCCCTCCGCCCCCGCCCCCTGGTGGAACCTCTCGACGGGGCGCCGTTCGCGTTTTCTGTGCCTAATTGAGGCCGGGGCCGTTCTTCCCGCCGCTGCCGCCGCTGCTGCGGAGCACCAAAACACGAAGAGGAGGGCAAATAAGTACACGTGCAAAAGCGTGGAAAGAACGCTGGATACATGACGACCGCGACCGGCCAGGCCGGCTTTCTTTCGTTTTTCCTCCTTCATCACTTTAAATCAGCGCTTACACGGCTGCTGGCTGGAAAACAGCCAAACATAAAAAAAAAATTGCGGTGAACGTAGACAAGGCGCTGGGTTGGGTGCTACAACAAAACAAAGTAAGAAAAAATGTGGTGGTTGTAAACAGCATGTGTATTATAGGGTTGGGCGAATTACACCGGCAGCCTGCTCTTCTAAGCTTCTAAGGACACATCGCCTGATTGAAACGGCCGGCCGGCTGGCCTTGCCGCGAAAGCTGCACGAAACGGCAAATCGTTCTACACGTAGACGTGGATTCATACGAAATTCTGGGCATTTGAAACCCTTGGTCGAGAGGTGCCGGGGACTCTTGTGTGACACTCTCGAGTGTCCAGCTTTGCCTTGCTGTCTATTCACGAACTTGCCAAGAAATACAAATATAGGGGCGTTGGCACCAGGAACTTGAGCAGAGTGCACGGGGTTGAATGTGCGACAAGTTCAAAATAGACGCTGGCATTCTGCCATCGATTGCATGCAACAGCCGCGCGTTGATCAGGGATTCCAGAATCAACCGGTCTCGGGCGTGGAAAACAATTTTGGTTTGTACCGTACGCCTTCCAAGTGACGTTTATGGTAACGATAACTCAAGGATCACGACCACAGCTCGGCGAAACCGATTTGGCGCCCACCCAGCAGTGAACTTTGTTTGTTGAAAGTTCAAACGTGACCACGGAAGGAAGGCGTCCCCGTCAGTGGACCAGTACTATACTATACGGATATTTGAACGTCCTGAGCGGAGACCGGAACGGTTTTGATGTGAAGACAACGAAACCAACAACGAGCCTACTTTTTAAACCACGGGGAAATGTAATTGACACCTGCGTTACTTCCCGTTGGCCAATTTTCAACTTTTCCTGGGTCACATCGGATCGGACCTCCCAATAACAGAGCCGAAGGCCGTCGATCAGTTACCGCAAGAGGCGGAGAGATGATCCCCCCTAGACCTTAAAAACCACAACCAAGGGCGCGCGGAATAGCCCGGAAATTTTACGGAAAAGCCCTGGACGAGATGACCACCATTCTTGGTGTCGGCACAATCTTGCTTGTGGGGCAAGCGAGCCTTGAGAATCGGTCTTGGGGGTGGGTTCCCATCTCTCCGTCTATTTAGAAGTCCGAAACGGCGATAAAATGAGGTCAAAGCAGAGCGTCACCGCCGGCGCTTAGGAACCTCTCGTATTCGCCGAGGCTACTTATTTCTCTTAATGCTACAAGTACCTGGTTGGTGTTAGAAGTATGTTTGTTGCCTGAGCACCTGATCTTCTCTTACGGCCAAGTTCTTACTTTTTCCTTTTAGTAAAAGCCTGAATTCTCGTGACTTCGAGGTTCTGCAAGCGCGGGCGCCACAACGTACCACTGGTTCCTGTACTACATATGATTGAATGAACACCTCCGGGTGAAGGAGATATTGCCGGTATTTTTGATGCCTTTATCCTCACGAAGAAAACACAGCAGTCATCTTTATGAGAGCCCAGAACAAAATGAAATAGCTTCAAACTCACAGCACCTGGTTAAACCGTGTGTCTCTCACGAAAATATTTATTCTCACCATTGATCCCCAGCAATGGTATACTAATTAAATGATGGGAGGCTAGACTAAGCAGTTTTGGCGGAAAATTCCATCTTATCGATACACCCATCATTCAATCTCTCTGAAAGCAGCGCTGTTCGAAATGCTGATCGCTCGCCCTGCACAGCAGTTACTCAGCCTTTTCTGTATGCAGGTACTTAAACACATGCGCACCTCAATTCCTTAAGTGACTTACGTAAGTATTAAGGAATAATAAAAACACACACAGAAAGACTACCCATTCGAGATATACCCACAGTCGAACGGGATGTGGTATTGTAATGCAACAGCAACTTGAGGTCAACCCCAACGGAGAGTTAAATCTTTTGAATTAAGGTTGGTGCTGAAGGCAAATACCATCTTGATCTTCCCGGCCCACACATCGATGTTCTCTCTCACGGTTCCCGGTGCGCATCCATAGCGTGCAACCATGCCACACGAACAGCATTCAGCAGCACCAGACAGCATCCTATCTCCTACGCTGTCATTTTCACAAGTGTAGGTGTCCGTTCAACTCGTGTTGTATCTCACGGACCGGCAGAAAGTCGACGCAACCAATCGCCCGAGTGTGGGGAAAAGAGAACCGAGGACAACTTGTTCGTTATAGCATCAATTTAGGCAAAATATGTCAAAAACCGTTTAATTGGTACTACATAGTTCACGAAGCTGCCAAGCGGGTTTCACGTCATGCCTACGCAATTACTCCTACCCGAGTGTGTACAGCACACCAAAGGCAAGTAAGTCATGGTACCATGTCGCAAGCAACAGCAGGGCATCACTCTCCGAAAGTTTTGTTGTTTCGGAGCACCACGACTGCTTTCAACCAACGATGATCATCAAAAGAGGGAGGCAGCTTTTCATCGTGAGTGCGGCTCCGAAATCGTAAGACCCGTTGACAGCCACACGAAAAGAAAGGGCCGCGCAATATCGTGGGAGGAAAGAGATAAGGCAAACTTCGCATTGATCTTCTCCTATGCGCTGCTGCTACGCTGTGCACTAGCCAAGAAAGCGTGCTAATCATCTGTCTCACCCACAACAGAGAGGGCCTCGCCGTAAAAGGCATTCGCCAGTATAAAGGAAAAATATTCGCAAGTAATTATTGAGAAAACTAAATCAGCAAAGAGTTGGAACACCCACAAACACGTCTGAAAACCTCTCTTTCAGAAAATGACATTAGCTGCATCACAAGAGGCAGAGAGAGTCGGACGCACCTGTCGTGACGAGCGTTACCCCAACCGCCAGCGCAGCTGTCCTTCGTCTAAGCACCCGCATGGTGGTCATGTGATGGCTGTCTCGCCTGGCGCCTCCCGCCGCGCTGCGCGTCCTCTCTCTTTTTTTCGTTGAGTTCGGTCTTGTGTGGAACGCCAGAACCCTCTTGTTCTTCGCTCTCTCCAACTGGCACCGCTCAAAAGGTATGCCCAGCAGATTCTCGTTCCTCTGCCAGCTCGGGCGAGAAGCAGGCTTACAGCGGACGTGCGCACCGGGCACCTTCTCTCTCCTCCTCCGCCTCCCCTTCTCGATCGGGGGAACAAACACAAATTACGAAAAAATTATCCCGGCTTGGTGAGGGTTAACCGTTAACCGCGCGCGTCGTCTTGTTACGTTGTCGAGATAACGAGCGCTCCTGCTGCGCGCTCCCTAACAGTACATTGAGACCGTGAGAAGGCGGCAGTGGTACTCGCGGGCGACCAACAACACCTGGAAAGAAGGATTGCTAACAGCTCTTGCGCCTATCTCTTTTCATATGGCTCACCATCACCAGCAAGCAAGACCCCAGAGGCCCGATGATCTGTAGAAATAACGCCGGTGGCACGTGGTACGTATTTGCATGTCGCGGAGCCCCTACGCTGCACCAGCACCAGCCAGCAGCATTTGGTCACAGAGTGTGCTTGCTGTGCATTGCCGGCCAGACACAGAGCCGCCCGGTCGCCCTGTCACGCTCGGCGTTGATGTCACTTCGGCTTTATTCTGGACATTTAGCGCTTCTCTCGATTTAGTACTCGGAGTCATCGATCCTTACCGTCATGGGCGGTGTCTACCACTGACTCTTTTCAGGTATGCTTGCTGAGTTCGTGACATGCTTGTACACATTCGTGCGCGGCATAGCCAGCAGATCCCATCAGCAGTGAGCGGGATTTGGAGCGTTTTGCACAACCAGCCGAGGAAATGCCTAAAACAGCAGGAGCGTGGATATTCACATGTCAGATTCAAAACAAGTGTGAAAGAACTAAGTAACGGTGCGCAGGGTTGCGCAGGAGGGGCAATAGTTTTGCGTACCCAAGGGCAACAAGTTTCGATCCGTCCGTTGCCGATCTACATGATGCCAAAATGTCATTTACTGCGAGAGATCTGCGACAGACATCGGATCAAAGATTGATTCTCCCGGAAGATGAAGCGTTGCAGGAAAGTTGCGCCTCAGTCTTGCTCCGTTTTTCCCCGTCTTTTTATCTTTCGAGATCAGTGCAACGTTATTTTCACCCGCACACTCCTCTCGTGGGAGGTTGCGGAGGAAACGCCCTGTGACCAGGATCCTGGCAACGAACGCTGAGAGGTGTTCTTCGTTCTTGCACCGCATGGTATTTTAGTGCAGAGGGCGGTCGGTTCCCCCTTAGCGAACACCAAGACCACGCCACAGAGCGGGATGTGTTGTTCGCCAGGTCGGTCGTGCCGTCCTTGATACATAAGCGGCGGGCGCCAGAGCGAACTCAAGCTTACATGTAGTTTCCACAACCTCGCCTACCACCCACGCAACAGCAGTCCCCGATTGCATTCTTTATCCAACATGTTTAATTAGTAGAAAAACCCTTGCGAAGGGAAGGCTACTGCAGCCCATATCACCGCGACACCACTGGCCACATGCGTTCGCCAGCAGGTGTTTCATCCCTGGTGATTCCTGAGGAATTCTTACATAGAAAGAGGCATAGAGAGGATGATGGCTGGCACGAAAAAGGCACCGGGTAAGCCGGAAAAAGCCGCGCCCGGGGACGGTGGGGGTGGACAGGCCGCCGTTGTGAGCTTTAGTCAGAAGAAGAAGAAGAAGCAGCCGAACAAGAAGAAGCCGGCCAAGACCAACAAGCAGTCGATCAAGCAGGTAGGTGATGGTGAAGCTGTTTTTGTTTCAATCTCGCGGCTGGTTGGGGTCGAGGTGGAAGCGTGTGGGTACGCGTCTCGGCAGCAACGGGAATGAAGCGTAAATCTGTGAACCAGGGTGTCCATGCAAAAGCCGCGGGGGTGGAGGAAGAGATTGAAAAGCACGCGACGTACCAGCAAGCAGCGTAGTGGTCCCTAGATCATAGGCCCGCTAAAGATCAATGGCGGCTAAATATAGAAACGCTTACGAGTTCTTCGTCTGTGATAGTGTTGACGGGGGGCGTGCCCGGGCAGGAAGTCATCGTGTGTCAACCGGTTACCTCTCCGTTACGCGACTTATGCTCGTATGGGTGGCGCCCGGGGGGAGGGGGGGGGGGACTCTAGCTGAGAACAGCCGTACCCGGTGATTTCCGCAGTATCTTAAACACATGTCGTACAATCTCGCTCCCACACACGCCATCGTTATCCGGGTACGGGAAGGATCCCGCGCCGTAACAAAAAAAGTTCGACCTTTTTGACACGCTTGTCGATCTCGCGCAGCGCGTCCGCGCCGAGGCGGCGGAGAAATCCCGGCTGTTGCGCAAGGCGAAGCTGGCCATGCAGAAAAAGATGCAGCGCGAACGGACGGCTGCTGCTGCTGCCACCGCGCAAGAGGAGGGAGCCGGTGGCGCGATAACCCTTTCTGCCCCTCCCTCCTTCGAACACGGCTCTGGTAGTGTCGTCCCCGCTCCCCCCCGAGCCAGCCCGGCAAGCCCCGGCAACGCCAGCGGCGCGCGCCGGACGGAGCGGCGCGAGGCCGTCCATCACGACGTGGAGGTGAAGCTGGGGCAGTGGCGCAGGAAGCGAGCTCGCGAAGAGGCGGGTCTGCCGGGAGACGGCGAACGGCAGTACGGCTCGTGCCCGGCGGGGGCCGGCTACTACGAGCGAAGCGACGGCGGTGGTGGTATGCAAGGCGGTGCGTTCGGGAGGAGTTCGTTGTCGGCGGGAGGCGGGGGAAGGGGAGAGGCGGGGGACTCTCGGGTCCCGGGAGGCGCGAGGGGATGCTGGCGCGGCGCGGCGAACGGCGGCGGCCGCTGGCCGGAGGTGTTCAACGCCCCCGCGCCCAGGCGGTCGATGCCCCGGCCCGGTAGAGCGGGACCTTTCTCTTCGGCAGCGACAGCGACTGCGCGTCCTGGCGGTAGTGGAAGCACCGGTGTAACGAGCGACGCTCGAGCCAGGGACGCGGGAACACGCTGGGTAGCCCCCTGGATGGTTGGCTTGGTCGATCGCTTTCCCGGTGGAGCCGCAGGACCGCGCGGCCGTGGTGGCAGGGACGCCGGGCGCGTGGGTCTCGTTGGCAGCGAAGAGGGCGAGGCCGGGCTGTTGCGCGGGGCCTCGGATGGCGGCGCTCTCCATTCCCGTGGCCCTGATGGTAGTGACATGGACATCTGTGGCGCTGGTAGCTCGCACGGGAGTTCCGTGAAGGGTCCAGAAGGCGCGGCGGGGGACGGGGGTGCGGAGGGAGGTGGTGAAGGGGGCGGACTATCCGACCTGCATCACGAGATCTTGAGATTCGAGGACTACGTCTCGCTCACCCCGGCCGAGGTAGGCGTAGTGTGCGTGGCGATTGTTAAGCGCACACGTGTAACTGCTCTCGTGTTTTTTGTCGTGTCGTTGCTGCTGAACCATTGTCTGCGCTTACGTCTTTTTGTTGACTGCTTGCTTCAATAGAACATGACAGCAAGAGCAGGCCTTGGTTTTCCATCCTATGCCTGTCTCTAGCACGTGGTTATGTGTCTTTCACCTCCCCCCCCCCCTCCCCCCC